ATTTATTGAAATTTTCTAAAAATTTCAAATTATATGCAAATCGTCATGATTATCAACTTTACTTACTATGCAAAGACTGATTTGCATATAAAAAAATAATGTTTTATATGTGGCTACGATCATTAATAAATTAGTTGATTATTAAAAAGCCGGTGACTTTTGTCAGGAGAGTGTACGTAGTCTAATTTGTTTTTGTACGTACTAGTACGTATTACGTATTATGGTAAATTTTTTACGTACGTATAATAAAAGGATAATGAAGATATTTTTCGTTATATTTCGCTTAATAATATATATATATTTTTCAATTTTAAAATCTTAACAACTTTATGTTTTCAATTAATAAATATATTTCAAATCTATATAATTAGACTTTATATATTTCAATTTGAAATATAATTTTTAATTGAAAATTTTAATATGGCTTGTAAAATTTGAAAACATGAAATTGTTAAGGATGCAATAAAAGATTGAAAGATTTTAAAATTAGAAAAGAAAAATTATTTTTAAGTGAAATACAGTATAACGAAAAATATTTTACTATTCTATAAAATTGTGGCAAAAAATTCTATCATTATTACAGAAACAAATGAGACAAGACATATATTTGATTCTCTGCCACTCCACGGGATACGAATTAGAGTTTGGAGCCGGTTTTATTTTATATGTTGAAAGCGGTCTTACAGGTGAAAAAATTGCCGATGACCGAATCGATAAGTTTCGTCGGTCAACGCTGGTAATTTATCGATCCCGAATTTTTAGCAGTCCCAACAATAGTGAAAATAGTTATGTCCAACTAAACTGATATTCAAAAATAGACTAACGCTAAGTCGACTAAATCAAAATCATTGTATATTTACTGTATCCTGAATTCTCTAATATTTCTATACATACTTACTGCGGCTGATTAAACGAATTTAAATAGTAGATATTTTCATAAAATATTAAAGCAAACGAAGCCTATATAGACGATACTATCTGGATCGCTAAAGACAAAAATGAATTACAAAATATACTCAAAATAGTGGACACCTTTTTATCATACGCCAATATCAAAGTAAAACGAAGTTGAATAGTAAATATTAATTAAATGAAATCTATATTAATGCAAATTAAGTTGAATAGTAAATGTTCTATATAGCTTATTTTTTTTATATATATTTGGATTAACAGATGTCCTTTACTTTCTTTATTTTTTTTTAGATTAAAAAAATCATTGGTGAATCAAAAATTAATATATTAACAATTTGTAATTCATGAATTTTTTTTTTTTATCTAAATCATCTTTACACTTACATGCAGAAACTGAATCTGGAACACTACAGTATTGTTCAGCTTTTGTTCGTTGAGCCTTGATAAGTCGGATCTAAACAAATAATGATTTTAAATTTCGTCTCAACAAATATATATATATATATATAAATTATCATTATTTTAAAATATTACCTTGACTTGGATATAGAAAACCAGCAGGAGTTTCACCAGGTGGTGCAGGAATTTCCATCGATTCAAGTGGTGGAAGTATGAGACCTTGCGGTGCTGTTGCTGCTTGTATCTCTGTTTTTGGCCCTGTAGGTCTTGGCCTTCCCCACGCTACCTTCAATGCATGTCCCTTAATATTTAAATTATTATGAGATTTATCTATCGCCTGTTCAGCTGACGCCCTGGTTGCATAATTCACAAATGCACATTTAGATTTGTGAACAACAACAACAGATTTTATTTCTCCGAACGCGTAGAAATGGCCCCTATATTTGAAAAATTTACAAAACAAATATGAGTGTTTGATTGCAAATTTGTGTATAATACATATTACGATCTGCACAATACCTAAGATCTGTCTCTGTAATATCTTCTTCAACACCGGTAATAAACAGTGAAGTCTAAAATGAAATATATTTAAGCAATTTAATCAGAGAATGAGAACTCTTTTCAATGATATAATTACTTACTATAGATTTATCTTCTGGAGGAGTGATGTTAGAGTTTCCACCTCCTTTTACGCGGTTTAATATCTTTTTGGCTACTGGATCATTGGTACCGTAATATCGATCCTTGATATTCTGGTGTGACAATTCATTTTCTTCTGGTATCTCATGTCTTAAAGAAAAAAAATAATCCTTTTATCTTTGATTTCTTAAAACGATCTTGCATTTATTGAGTGGTTTATATGATTTCCCCGACAATTATTTTCAGGTATTTAACTCCTAATTTTAAATCAGGCCGATACTAACTCTAAATCGAGCTGATTTTAGCCGTTAGGAAATGATTGTCGGGGAAATGAGTACAACTGATTTACTATGTTTATCTATGTTATCTTAAGTGTTACCTGTACGGACATTCATCTCCACGCGTGCACGTCCCTTTAACGAAAAAAGAGCATATGTGCGGCCGGTTACGTTTATAATAAGGTTCTGTTCTAGCCAGTTTTTTCAACATCTCACGACCTGCAGAATCTGCTTTTCCATAATTTATAAGACTATCACCAGCAGCAATCTATGCAAATAAAATACATCAGATTCTGGTAAATGATGATAAAATAAATGACACGGCTTACCTTTCCTTCAATATTTTGAGCAAAATATTCTCTATTGATCTCTGATCTCGGTGCGTCATTAGTAATATTTAAAGCAGTGTCACGGACTTGAACAGGAAGATTATACTGTAAATCTAGTAAGCAAGTTTGACAAACATTTTTTAATTTCGCACAAGTTTGACAAATTTCTGTTTTTTTATAACGCATGCCAGCTCCCGGTAACCATCTAAAGATCGTAAACGGTCGTGAACAAACCTATAAAAATAGATAACTTTAGTATTTCGTAAATCAGATTAGATTTAAGTTCGTAAAACATCTATCTTACTTTGCATTCTTTTCCAAAACCCTGCCTTGTCTAAAAAAATTAAATAATAATTAAAATATTATCGTGGGAAAAGCGAAATGTGAAATGCGAGATCAAAAAATTTAACCAACCATTCTAACATAAGGATTATCGCCCAGGCATGTTTCGCAAAGGATCGGAAATTCCTTTACGTTCGAAAATTGAATTAGTAAAGATCTCAGGGTTTCGAAGAGACTAGTAAACTTCGAAATCTTACTGCTTCTTCCCAGCCTTGTTTATTTGGATCTGCCTTAGTTACCATTTTTTTTATTTAAGTTTTTTTGCTGAATAAAATTTAGACGAAAATATTATATTACAAAAATGTATAAATTTGATTGGTTGGCTATTTTTAGTATACTGTTAATCATATTTGATAGTGTTTGTAGTGTTTGTATGGTCGTCATTGTACGTATACATATATCATATATATATCCCATAATACTTATTGTGGCGGATTAAAAAAAAAGAAACAACAAAATTTTTACAAATTTTATTCCCCATCCCTTACCCACAATACTTTTTCATATCCAATTCTCTAAACAATTCTTCTCTCTTCTGTACTAAACGAAATATGAAACTGGCATACACAGCCAGATTATTATGAAGGAAGATATAGTAAAACGCTTCGTATTAGGTGGGGTGATATGAAGTTGTCGGATGTACTAAATTCTAAAATAGTGCATTAGAAATCCCCAGATCGATGCACATGAAATAAGCTTAGCCTTATTCTTAGTAAGTAATATATTATAAATATAATTATCATAATTATATATATTTAAATAATCGATCCATAAATAATTATAAATATTTCGAATATTTGCAAATAATATAAACTCTTAAGGATAAATTGATAAATAAGGTACCGTTTCTCCCTCCCGCCTCTGATGAAGAATCAATTGTGGGAAGCAATTATGCTGTGCCAGGGTGGCGCTTATATCTCGAAGTACGTTGGCACCGTACTAGAGTTAAAGCGCCAGAAAAAAATCTCTGGCTTAGCTGACGAAGATAAGGGACAGCTGTTGGACTACATCCGGGTCATAGTCCAACAGCAACCATCTCGGCGGTTCTTTGCGGCTTACCTCACAGACGGGGTCTTTTTCTACATGATGACTTACGATAGAGATGATTATTTATCAACACCACCATTATCACTTAGTTGTGGAAGAAGTAAGAGAGGAAGGAAGAAATCCAGAAACTTTCAAATAGGTAATTATAAGTTATAATATAATTTATGAAAATAAAATATTTAATTAAAAAAATTTTAATTAATTAGGCCGCACAAAATTATATACTTGGTTTTCATATCATGGGACAGTGATCAGTGACGCGGGCGCGCGGCTTTTTTTTTTTTATAGTAAAAAAATTTAAAGCTTTTATTTTATTTATTTTATTCATCTGTATGTGCAAGCCTGTGTTCTATTCACTCATTTATTCGTAGTTGTGGTGAATCTCAAATTTCAAGAGTTTTTTTTAAATAATGCCAAAAATGCCTATTAAAGCTTATTATCCTACTATCTAATTTTTTGTATAGATATTAGTGAAATCAAATTATGATTAGACGATTATCAATTATCGTGCTATCTTTGTAAAGTTTAAAATTAAATTACTATTAAATTTTTGATAAAATTCGAACACTTTGTGTTCATTCTTTTTAACGCCAATTTCTTCTTTATATTAATAACCAACTATAATTATTCCATCATTCATAACTGAATTTAACATAACTTGTTTTACTGTTACCAATTTAATCACGAATATAATTCAATTGTTAGTGCCTTCGCATTAGTAAATATTTAGAATAACTTGGGACAATTTAGGAATTTAGAACAAACATTACTAACAGGGATACTTATCGTGATTGTATCATTAGTTTAAAGTATGGGTAGGGTTAGATGGCAGTTTCGTGATTTTTGAGACTATGAACCACCAAATCGGGCTTGCATATAGAATTATATTTCATAAAAGTTAAATATACGATTAATTGAGATTGAATCTTAACGATCCAATTACAAGTTCTTAGTTTGCATATAATAGTTTCAGTCTGATTTTTTTTAGTTTAAATAGATTATGTATGTTGCCCACTTAGATAGAACGAAATAATTATACTAAAAATCCTCGAATCAACTTAAATTCTGTTCCTACCTACGACATGTATATGCGTTTAAATAAAATTTTAGAATTCAAAAAAAACTTCAAGCATGACAAATATATAACGTATTACATAAATAAAAATTTTTTTTTTATCTTTATGCTTTTTTGACTTATTAAATTTTACTGGACCTCACTAGACCTCACTAGAACTTCCATCCAGTGGTAAAAAAAATAAGGCTGGAAGGGTCTAGTGACAACTTACCACTGGAACCTAAATATCTTCCTAGTTCCAGTGGTCTTCACTGGACCGGTCTAGCAACAGCACTGTATTATATTATTAAAATGCTATATTTATTAGATTGCTACGTATTAGATAATTAAAGGATAATATTAGATTATATTCATATTACTGTATTATAGTTATATTGTAAACATATAATATTAATCATGTTAATAGTAACTTGACAGAATTACAAAAATAATACTATATTCGTATTATTTAGTCATCACGAAAGGGCAAACGCGTAGATATTCTGAAGTATTAAAGCAAATGAAGTTGAATAGTTAATATTTATTAACCTGAATGCCTTATTTAGATACTTAGATTATAGCACATGAAAATATTTTTTTTTAAAAAAAAGATCCAGAACGCTCCGTATCCCGTGTTCAGTTCGCCTCAGCCGGGTGGACTACTAGGAATTGCAGTTTTGAAAAAAAACCAGAAAATCAATTTCGTGATGTAGTCGACATAAATTTTACCGTATTGACACATATATATTCTGAATTCTTCTATGTATTTCCTATAATCATATTCTCGTGACTAAGTCGATTTTACCGACTAACGCCAAATCGACCACGTCACTAAATGCAAGGTTCGTTTCAAAGTCATCGGATGTAGTATTTTGTAAGAGACCTGGATACGAATTGACAACCTTGATAAGAATTCTATATAATCGTATTTTTATTTATACTAAGTTTACTGTAGTTTTAATTTAAGAGGCTAGTTTTAATTTAAAAAAAATATAAATTTTTTATAAATTTTCGAAAATACTAATGTCAACAGTTAATAGTTAGCAGTTAGTATATATATACTGTATATTATACAGTAGCTTACATAGTTTTGGAATCGGATGAAATATTTAAAATTCTTTGACGTTAAAAGAAAATAATATTATATCTAGTTATAATGATAATATTTGATTATTAAATATTTTAATTTATTTTAAAACAAAAAGTGTTTAACCGAATAAACATTTAAGTAAGATATGTGGAATTATTAAAGAAATTTTGTAAAACTATTCTTTTTTTATACACATAAAAATATAACATATTAGCATTAACTAAAAAAAAATAATATATATAATAATAATAAATTAAAACCCCGAACCAAAATTTATTATTACATAAAGAATTATCTATAGATTATATAACATAGAAAGCGAAAATTTAAAAATAAGGGTATTGATCCCCTTTTTCAGCATCATTAACTTTTGTCTTTCTTAATTTTTTTAAGCATTTACTAGTGCTCTTGATAGCCGAACTACATGAGCTAATACATAATAATATAGTGGCAACAGTTAGAAAAGAAGCGCTCATAGTAGCCAAGTAAATGCCAGGACCAGTATTTTGACTTCCAATACCAGGAATAATAGAAATAAGATCAAATACCCAAACAAAAAGTAAGAGATCAAAAAAACAAGCAATGGTATTAAGTATGGTAGAAGACAATATGAGTAAAGCAGCAATAATTGTAAAATGAAAATATAATAAAGGTAAAGAAATTACATTAAATATTAAAGCTATTAAATAAGGAATTGAAAAAAAACCCGAAATGTTAGCAGTAGGACTTCTTGGTTTAAAATTATCGAAAGCACTTAATAATTCAGATAATAAACCCGGAGCTTTTGCAGCAATATCCGCAGCAGTACTTGCAGCAGTATTTGCAGCATTGGTGACATCACTACTAACGGCCGAAACAGCCGGTTCTACACTAGATGGAATATCAGGAATTGAAGGAGTTGGGATTGAAGGAGTTGGAATGTCGAGACGTTTTTGATTTGAGGATGATTTAGCAGTGATGTCTGAAGAGGAGGGCACTAACAATTAAAAAAAATATATATAGTATATATTTTTAAGATTAATATAAAAAAAAAAAACGATAAATGCTAAAAAAAGAAAAAATTAATTTAATACATACATTTATCAAAATTATTAACCAGTGAAGGAGTAGTGCATGAATCATCTACACAATGGCCGTATAGAGTGAAAATTATATCACTTTTATGCGTAATAAATTTTATCGGTTCGTCAAAAGTAAATTTTGACAAATAAATAGTTTTAGAACTACCAAGCAAAAGGACAAGAAGAAGTAATATGGACAAAAGAATTAATAAGACAGAATAAAATACTAAAGGGGTTTCTTTAGATGGCCGGACTACATGAGAATGGAAGAATGTTTGAACTGGGGAGACAACATAAGTATGAAAAGAAGAATTATTTTCAGGTTTTGCCGTATCACTATTGGAAACGACAGAAAGTCGTCGATTTGACTGCTTTGGTTCGGGGATTTCAGATAATCTTTTTTCCATCTTTACAGTCCGGCTGTGTATATAATCTATGTATATAATCTATAGTTCTTTTTTAACTTAGTAAAATCTTTGGGTTGACTAGACGAGAACGCGCTGCGTGCCAACACCATTCCTTGATTAATGGAATCCTTCTATTTATAAAAAAATTCATTTCTTTGTTTTCTAAAATCTATAGTGGAAATGTATAAATGTGTAAATGCTACATGTATTTTAAAAATAAGTAACAATTGTTTGTTCGATAATTTGGGAATAATACTTACAAAGGTAGCCCGTTCCATTCACTAAACCTTTGTTTCATCAAACGTCGGAGCCAAGGCAATTGATCACAATGCAGCCTTTGTTTATATGAATACAAGTAGATCGTTATAATTATATAACTTTATTTTATTGGTCAAAAAGGTTGCAATACGAAGAATGACCATTTTTTATGTTAAATGTTTTCAAACTGTTATTACTAATTAACGTTAGTCTATTTGAAAGGCTAAAAAAAACATTTCGTAGATCATTTAATAATTTTTTTTGCCCAAAAGTATATTGTTATAATAAGGTTTTTAATTGGCTAGAGCTATTTAAAAACGAAGTGAAAATCTTATTCTATAAAGTTTTAAGTTAATTCCCAGTTCAAACGAACCTTGATTAAAATCTTGTTAAAATATAGTTACCAACTTTTAAATTTTTTATTAATATCATAAATATATCGTAAGCAAGATTATATATTAAGGGTTCTTTTTCCATTTTTGATTTAGATACAAGAATTTATGAACAAAGATTAATAAAAATATTGTTTTATGAATTTACGTATCTTAAAAATTAATAAATTTAAGGATATAATTCTCACCATTTTTCAAATATATATTAGACTTTTTTACGACTACTAAACCTATAAATTTGAATATATATATATATATTAAAAGCGTTAGGTAAAATCAAGATGACGATTAAATTGCCTTAACTGGTATTGCTGTATTATCGTTATACGTACGTATATATAGTATAACAGATAATACAAAGTATTAAGTATTTTATTGTACCAGTATAATTACAACCCTAATCGTATTATCATATCGATTCAGATAAAAATCATGATCCCAAAATTTGTCTCGGCAATTCATTATTCCTGATGGTTTAATACGTATCTTAACATCGATTTTACGAAACATTAAAGGATTTTAAAAATAGAATTGTTAATGAAACTTTGGGATTATCAAGCTTGGGTAGGCCTCTGAAAGGTTGTGACTAAATGGTCTTGGTAAAATAAAAAATGCTGTACTTTATCACATGCACAGATATTATTTTCCAAGTTATCTTTATGCGTGAATAATTTGTTATACAGAATTTTCATTCTTTGTTATGAAGAGCGTTACAACGAACAAAAATATTCAGAACGACTAGTTCGGTCTAGAAAGGTAAATGCCCATTGTTATCACATTTATGTCACATAGGTTTTTTCGGCTTGTCCATGCTCATACTTTTTTGTGACTTAGCATATATCGATATTATCATGTAGATTAATTGATAAACCATTTTTGCTCAATGCTTGAAATCAAGTTGTCATAATAAAATTTTGGGTTATTAGTATTTCTTTTTTTGGTAATTGTCCATTGACAACACTGACTGCGTCAGCTACGTATACAAAATCTGAGACAGGTTATACGTATCAATCTCCTAGTTTTAAACTCAACATTCATATTATAACGATAATAACAATAATATTAACAATAATAAATTTCGAGTAATGAATTTACTGGTCGTCATCCCAAGAATGCTCTTCTTTTTTACTTTTTTCAATTGTCTTCGCTGTGCCCTGAAGTGGAATATGTGTTCTACTGCGAACTCATGCAGTAAAGAATTTAATTCTTTTTTCATAAATGTTTCAAAATCTGTTACGTAGTGATATTAATATTAACATTGATATTCATGCTTAAGAATTTACATGCATATATACTTTTCGGTGATGATACTGAGCGGATAGAGTGGGTATCGTGTATCGCTTTCTTATTTAATCGTATAAATATATAAATATGAGAAATACGCTTTATCCGGCAGGTACTATCGTTATATAAGAAAATTTTCACATTACTACCGAGGTTATTATTAAAATCAAGTGACGAATTCAGATTTATAAAGACCTTCGGAAATAATATCGATATAAAATTTTTCATCAGAGTATACGTTCATACCTACTTGATAAACTAGTTATTCGGCATGATGTGACAGATAACAAGAAAGCTCATTATTTCGAATAACAAGAAAGTAAATTATGCCAGATAAACAAGAAAGTATCTTTAAGTAACTTTTAATTTTAGCAATTTGCGTATTGTACCTTAAGCTATATATGTCCGTTCATTTCTTCTATTCCTTGATATATGGGTTTTGCCTTGAAAATCACGTTATGGAACATATGATTTACTATGTCCCATAACTGATTTTCAAGGCAAAGACCCACCATATGTTCTTGACATCGATACCAATATTTTTTAAACATATGAGTTTTCGGATATCTTTTCCGTCATTCAGAAACGAGATTGATTAAACCGTTTCGACTAGTTTTTATATGAGATATTAAATGTGTCATATTTTTAAACCAGTGCATCAATTTTATGAAACGATAGATGCCTGGTGCTATAATAGTCTTTGCTTAATTCGTATATGTAACTTCCAACACATATAGGCAAACACACAAGAATATGATGCGAATGGATAACTTGACTATATAATGCGATTATTCTTTCCACGGTGAGTACATATACAGCTAAAGAAAAAAAAGCTTTGCGAAATTAATTTAAGGTCTTCTTTACAATGACTTACAAAATAAATATATAAATCGAATTTAGTACTACGTCCCTTTATTTTTTTTTTAATTCAAATATCATTAGATACACTTAATATGACTATCATTAATTTATACACAAATGAATCGGATTTTGATGAAGTATTTCTCTACGTTACTGCGCCTCTGGTGTTCCTGGCATTTCATTACGCTTCCGTTATTTCACTCATTCCTGACAAAATCTTGAAGCGAGTATTTAAGTTTCACTGTAGAGTTCATCCTCAATATCATAATTCTTCGGAGGCTAAGTTCACTATAGTGAAACTTAAATGTTTTCCATCTACAACACTCGTATACGGTGCATTTCTTAATTGTTATCCTAATAAGTGCTGCAGAGTGAAAAATTGGAAGTGGAAATTTAAGTTTCATTGTATACAGTCGGTGTCTGGGCTAAAATCGCTGCAGTAATACTGTACTTAAATTTCCATTTTCAGGCTTTCACACTACAGCGTTATCTTAAAAATTATTAATACAAATAAACCATAACATACACCTATTAAAGAACCTAATACTTTACTAGCTTACTAGGATTTGTCATATATCTGCAAGCTTTTCCTTGGCAACACTACTATAAGTCTGGCAAGAATCCGAGAACTTAGAATCCCGGCCTGCCCAGTTCAATATAACAACCAGAAATTCAAGGAGCAAATTCATGCCGCAATCCGAGGCAAACTTTTACCAGAGTTTGTAGAGCCTTTGTCCAGTTGACACGATGATTCTAAAGCCATAAATACAGAAGCCGGTGTAAATATAAGCTTTGATCTGATAAAGCTCCTGGTGTGATATAAGGCTTGACGAAATACATTTTCTTACTTAAATACTTAGATTAATAACTGTTTTTTATGCTCACGAACCAAATAAGCACGAATAAAATGAAATCAATTAGCAAATATTAATGAGCTTGATGTTCTTCACTAAAAACACAAATAAATAGTTAAATATTTATGAACTTGAATCGCTTATTTAAAATTATATAGCGTGAATAAATAAAATTAAATGAATAAAACGTGACTAATATATATATATATATATTTGAAATGTTTACAAAAAATCACATTATTATTCTTGGTAAATTTGTATCAAAAAATATACATTGGCAATATCTGACTAGTTTAAAAATTAAAACTCTAATTTTTTTTTGAAATTTTGTTGATTTTACACAAACTAAGATCCTACATCTAAAAAAGTCATTAGGTTGGCTACGCATCTAATTCCCTAACCTACATACATATGGCTTGGGCCCTGTTTTATACCCAAAAATTCTAGATAATACCAATTATATTCTGCCTTCAGCTCTAATTCAACAACTTTTAATTTGCCCCGGAGTGAAGTGTGAATTTGGGGATCTGTAAATAGCTTTCCACATCCTTGCATATCTACAATTAACTACATTCTCATACCATACTCTATGTTATTCCTTAAACAATGATTCTTGCGCACACTCTACAGATAACATCTGCATTTCCTCGATCATTAGACTTTGTTCTTCAACCCTTTCTTGTAGTTTATATTATTATTATTATTATTAGTATTAGTATTATAATGCGTTTGAAGACTGGTAGATAAATATGAAAAAGTTTGTACCCAATTATAATTTGGAATTCTTGGTCTTGTATCCATTGTTTCCATTATATTTATGAAAAATGTCATTTGGCGTTTCTTAGAATATGAGGCGGCAGAAGACAAAGCTGTAGTAGCGCGTACATCAGCTGAGAGTACGTTCTCTCAGTTTTACTAATAAAAAAAAAAAATTTGCAGAGGTGCAAATCGTATGGTCGAAATTGTGGAGCATAATGCTAAATTGAAAAGAGCGGTGTATGCGCTATACAGTTTCAATAAAATTCATTTCTTTGCGTGAGAGACTGTGACCAATGTATTTATGCCTAGTGATTTAAGCCGGCTAATGTAAGCCGGCTTAGCCGGCAGATATAATATGGTTGGCTGGCTAATGCAGCTAAAGATCAATGGCTTAGCATATAGCGATAGTGTGATTCTGGTACTGTAAATTCCGAAAAGGAAATGAATAAACATAAAATATGAGCAAGTCGAACTAAATTTTTGGAAAATTCACCGAAATTTTTCAGAAATAAAGTATTAGTAAGCTGTTAGCCAGCCGATTAGCTGATATTTTAGTTGGCTGGCTCAGCCAGCTGACTAAAACCTTGTTGCT